GAATTTATAAAACAGATTTTCTAATGTGAAATCACCGAGCGATGCTAATATTCTTCACAAACTGGTCAATGAACAATTTTATTCCTACCGCTACCTCGTGGTGAGGAAAATCTATAAGCCTTATTTAAAAAAAGGAAATGCTTCTTCAATTGAATAGTATAAAATAAGAAATAAACCTAAATAGCATGGAATTATTGCTCGGCATGAAATGTTCAGTTTCTTCATTATGATCTTACATCAGTCATTATAGTTAGCAAATAGCTTCAATTTTTCATTTCAATTCAACCCAATTGAAAAAAGAAGCGTGAAATCGATATTAATCTATGAATAAGTTACTAAGGTTAAAAATATTGTTTTATTTTTGATAACCAGGCAAAAGAATGCATCCTCTTCACTGACTGCAGCAAAATTTTATATTTATTTAAGAATTGTTCCATACTTTATGTAATTTTAAGCAAATTGAATATTCTCCTTTCATACTTTTTAAATATTCCTCAGTATATTTTAAGTTGGAAATTATATATAATTTCTAACCAAGGAAATATTGCGTACGCTTACTTTACTCCCGAGCGGGAATGTGTTACTTTGCGCCCGCTCGAAGTGCCCGAATGACATACTTTCCGTAAAGGTAGATTTAGAATTACAATCTCAACAATTAATATTTAATTTTATCCTAATTTATATTGAAAGCTAATCTTATCGAAATCACATAGTTCAATGTAATATTATAAATAATTTATAAGTTTTCAAAAAAAAATTGAAAATAATTTTATTTTTTCTTTTGTAATGTAATTTATATCTTTTGACTGTGATGACACGTCTTGTAAGAACACTATTTTTTAATTTTTCGCCACCTTAAAAAAAGCTGCGCGTCGAAAAGCATTCTTTAATTACGCTTAATTATGGTAAGTGTGTCAGTTACTGCGACTGTTTAATAATGTAAAAAAATGTAATTTTTTAATAACGTAATGCATGCAGCAGCTTAATTATGGTATGTATGTCAGTTACTGCGTCTCACAGTGGTTTAAAATCGAAAAACGGAATTCAAAATAGTGTAGAGCACGTAAATCTTAACAAATTTTTATCTTCTTTTTTTAAAACACTCTTCACTAAATTCCCAAGAGATCTCTCGAGGCCTACTTTTTAAAAAAGGTTTTAATTTTTTTAAATTTATTTATAAACATTTAAAGAAAGTATTTTGTTCATAAAAATAACACTTCTGAGGAATACAGGCTCCAAGTTTTTCTTCTGAAAAAGTATGTAGTATGTACTCCATTATTCACCAATTTGAAAAAAAGTTTTAGGACTTTCAAGGATTTAACCATTTAACGCCCAGTGATACATACGCTATACCACAAATGCATTAAATTCATTATAACTTTGAAACTAATACACATTACTCAAAATATTAAACTCCCAGCTGTAGTCAAACTCTTTTAACAGCTAATAAAAGAAACAAAAATAATAAATAAAAAAAGTGTCAAGATACATTTTCTCCTATAGCGGACGAAAAAATTTTGTTGTTGTTTAAACATGACACCAATAAGTGTTCTTATGTTTTATTAAACCAGTAATAGTTCATTCTTATAAAATCATGCTTAATTTTTTAGAATGGACTTGTTGCATTCCCTCGAGCAATAAGCTTCCGCCTTTTAATAAACATTAGTTCAACTTGAGCCTGTTTCTTAATATCTTCTGCTACTTACTATAAATATTTTACAATCTAAAAATTGATTTTGTATTGATAAAGGGTAGGGACTATCATGCTTTATTTTTGTCCCGTCACACATTTGACTTGGAATTCATATTTCTGAACAAATATTAAATTTTAAACTGATATTAATTTACAGTATACAACTGCACTGAAAGCTACAAATTTTAATGAAAAAAATTAATTTCTTTCTTATTACCATGCAGGATAATTTCAACAATAAATTTCAATTACTTTTAAGAAATAAAAAAATTTCTCAGCTGTTTATAGTCATTTACCAAATTATATTCTACTAATTGTTAGAAAGCTGCATATAAGATTAAAATTCAAGATACTTTGTATTTAAAAATGAAATATGAAAGTATATTCTGTTACGCAGGCAATTAGCATAAGTACTAATAATATAATTGAATTTTATTTTCAAGTGTTATACTTCGAGGATTTTTAATTCATTCATCAGCACATTTAAAGAAAGGTACACGAACTTTCAATGACATAAATATAACATAACCGGAAGGATTGTAAAAAGTATTTAATTGTAAAAGCATCTTTGTTAAAGCTTTTATTTACCATCCCACTTGGAAGAATTTTTAATTTTAGAAAATTATTTAGAAATTACATTTCATTTTTGAAATGTTTGTTGTAAAACTTCATACTTTTGACGGTTTCATAAATAGATAAAATGTACTTAAAAAATTTTCTATAAATAACTAATAATAACTAATCATAGATTTTCATGAAGAATAAATTTTCAACTTGAGCACGTACTATTCTTGCACTTATATAGACATGCACATTCGCATACTTACTCATGAGTTTTAATCATGCTAATTGATGTTTTAGGTGTAAGTATATTAGAAGGATTTTGGCATCGCTGATTATAATCAGCTACTTTTTTGGATTTGTAATTTTACATTAGTTTTGTAATCAACAACACAATAAACAGTAATTAGCAGAATTAAGACATAAGTAAATGTGTGATATGTACGGATATGTAAATAGATGTAGAATGCGCACACAATCGAAAATGTTATGCTACATGTAGCTGAAGTATGAGATGTCTCGTGAGACAATAGGTCCCTACAAAAGCGCCAAATAGTGGTGCTTTACACAGGTGCCGCTAAGCAGATAATCCAATATAGTTATAACAAAAAAGTTTTAAAGTCGAAATTTCGTGACAAAAGCAAATTATTCACAGTATTAATTATGTACACTTGTTTCTTTTTAAATAATGAGTATGAAATAAAATTTGAAATTAGAGAAACGATTCAGGAAAAAGGTGAAAATTTGATTCTTTCCTAAAACGGTGTCGACTTGTGTTTCATGTAAGTACTTTTTATGTTAATATTATATTAAGTTTGCAAAGATAAATAAAATTGTTGATAGGAATAATTAATTCATTTAAATTAAATTAATAAACCTGACAGATCGTCAGATCAACAATTGTAATAAAACTTGAAACATATTCTGCCGTTCGTATTTTATTATTTTTCATATTCATCGAGAAATAATCAATTGGAAAATCCGCTAATCCATAAATGTTATTCTTGGTAGAAATCATCAGAAAAAGTGATTTCTCGTGCATATATTCAGATGTAATTCCCGAATATTCAAGAGCAACAGGAAGACGAAAATTATTTGTTGTTTTGGTCCTGTCAAAACACTGCGGCCATTTTGGATTAAAGACCATAATTGTGGTGACTGTAGATATTAAGGCGTTCTGTTTTATCGGCCGAAGATAATTATCTACCGCGGATAAGTGAAAACTGAAAAATTGTAAAAAGAGTAGTACGCCTGGGACTCACCTTAGGAAAACGAAAACGAAGCGCGCGTGTAGCGACGCGTTCGTGGCCAAGCACACGGCCATTTAATTTCATTCTCGATTTAGTGTTGTTGTAAGGCGCATCGCGCCGTAAATTAAAAACTAAAAATTTGTAAAAATTAATAAGTTGAATGCCATGTCAGGACAAGGAGCTATGAGAAGTCGACGTCTTATTGACGGTGAATCCCAGTGACTTATATTTGTTGTTTCTCGCCAGATTGGCATAACATTTATTGTTAAAAGTTTGATTGTTGAAACTGATGCTTGTCGCCGCATTGGCATACGGTATTTAAATTTTAAATTCGGCTTTCTGTCGAATAAATAAATTGCTTAACTAAAATTATAATTTAAAGTAAATTAAATTGAATAAAATTATTTGTAACAAATCTAAATTCAGTGACAGAGTTGTAATTAATGTGTTAATCTCCTAACCCCCCCCTATCCGCGGTTTGTTAGGAATTTCTCTAACAATTTCTGAATTAGTCTGACTTAATTAAAATTTGAATATTTTCAAGTAAAATAACTTGGTGCTAAATATAAAATATTTTATATTTTAAAATCAGTGAATTGAAAGTGTAGATAACGTTCTTTCCTAACCTATTGACAAATAGTTAATTGATTTTGGACTAAATAAAAGTTAAAAATAAGATTAAAATCTCAAAATAAATATTCAAGTTGTTTTGAAAGTATTAAAATATGTATTTAAAAATAATTAAAAATATTAAGAACGTTATAGTAGTTATAATAATGTATTTAACTTTATATTTATATGTGACAATAACTTTTTTTAATAAAAAACATTTTAATTAGTAGGAGGTTAAGTAGATTGACATGTCCACTTATTTATTTTTGTGAATATATATTTTTCTCCAAACTATGTCATTCGCCCGAAGGGTAACTTACTCTATAAATATTTTTCTAAATTTCAGTGTCATGTTTTCCATAGACATGGCGTAAGCCAGACGAAAAAATCAGATTATAAATCAGTTTAAAGCAATTAAGAGAAAGTGTGAAAAATATAATTTTTTTCCAAACAAGAGATTATTTATATTCCTGCATAATAATGTATATTAATTTTAAAAGAGTATGAAATTATCACTAAGAAATTGAGCTGGAATAGAATCTAATGCATAGCTGGTGTTATCAAGAATTGAAGAATAAAAAGATACATTTTCTGACAGCATCCCTTCCACAAGCGAGGTCTTTATTGCTCAATCATATTATCATTATTAATGAAAAATATCTGCAAAAAGTTAGGAAATGTATTATATATTTTGGAGCGCGTAGATATTTTATGTCGAGCTGCAAAATCCTCGCTAAAGACACGTATGTACATATTTGCCCTCTGACACTAATTTAAACTTAGAAGCTATTCTGTCTCGAAACAAGGTTCATTATTACGAAATAACGATCCTTGTTTCGGTCAGATGTCGTGCTTAATCTCAACTAATTAGCATGCAAGTTTACCTTGAAGCCATCATAGGTCCACGAACCGAACTTCAGGACACATGTTTGCTCATCGAAGGGGAAGTACTCCACATCAATTTCACAGGATGACTTATAAATGGCGGGCGGCTTCCACTCGACCAGTCCTTCGTGGTAGATGGTGGCCTTCGTGGCCAAGGTCACCTCGAAGTTTCCGTCCGCGCTGCGAGCGAGCACATTAGTGGTTCTGGGCGCTGCGGCGGTCGAGCTTACTTTGTACTTCCGATTCAATGTCAAGCCCATTTTTTTTAAACTTTTATTTATTATAGGCACATAACCCTTATTTATAATTTAGATTTTAAATTTACTTTTAAGCAAAAAAAGAGTGAGAGAAAGGAGAATAGTTATCGCGTGATTACTCTTCGATTGCTCCGTGAAATTACTTAGCATTGTGCATCGTTTTAACGAAATTTCGGTACAATTCTTTAGAAAAATAAATTTTTCCCTTTTTTATAGATACCTTAAAGATAATGATACAATTAAATTTTTTGATTACCTTCGCAATCTTAGACTGAGAGACCTTTTGGACTGTAGCAGACTTTCGATAGGTTGGTACTGACTATTCCGTTAGTTAGCTATGAGACATCTTTGGGCTGCTGCGGTACAATTTTGAGATTGACTGTCCAAAAGTTGTACAACTATATTCCAAAGTCTCACCAACATTTTGAACAGTCACGATACAAAAAAATAGTCCACAGCGCATCAAAACCATATTAGAGCTGCTATCATCCAGTAGCTTCACTGCAGTCCAAAAGGTCTCTCAATGTATGTTTGTAACCTGTAATGTTTAAAATATTTATTAGAATTTTTAGTCGCTCTTATTTCAATCTTGAAAATAGATTTTAAAAAATGATCCAACAAAACGAGAATCATTTCATGTTTCTTAAAAGGAAATACAAAAATTAATATTTTTAATTTTTTAAAAATAAAAATTATACCTTGTAAATTGGATTAATTAATTCATTGAAATTAAATTGAATAAATAAATCTGCCAGCTCGTCAGATCAACAATTGTGACTAAACTTTGAACATATTCTTCAGTTCGTATTTTCTATATCACATCGAGGAAATATGGAGAATTATTTAGTCCACCATCACTTATCCAATTGATCGAAGTCATAAGGGGAAGTGCTTCCTGGTGCATATATTCGGACGTGATTCCCGAATATTCAAAATCTAATTGTAATTGCAAGATAAATATGTACATGGAATCATCATTTTAATCCTCGAGGAAAAATAATCTCAATTTTCAAATTATTGATACAAATAAACTATAAATAAGAAAAGGCATAGAGATTCCAAACATGCCCCCGTTAAAAGAGAAAAGTGGAAATTTCAATTCAAAATGATTCTCATCGAAGCATCATCAGCTTCTCTTATGCACAGCGTGATGTCGATAACCCTTGGCGCATTGCAATTTACATATCCTTCGTTCTCTATCATACTATTTCTCAGTACAACTGCGGAATCGCAATTTCCTGGCATGTGAATTTCCATTGACGCCTACGGTGAATATTTACACGTAAAATAGGGACAGCTTACCACCGAGACTCCTGCTAAATCAGTGCTAACCTCAAGGGGAGTTCTACTTTTTATTTAAAGGCAATTGATTTATTGAAAATTTATAAATATATGTCTTAAGAAAGCAAGATTGGTGATGATGTGTTCAGAATGTAAAAATAAATTTTCTCGTTTATGTCACAAGAAGTTTTTTTTAAAGAAACCTTGTAAGATTTATTGATTTATCTTATTCATCTCTAGGATCTCAGACGAGTTACCTACCCTCAACGTTACTTCCAGGACGCAGGGGTCGAGATGATTTTGAGAAAGGGAAGGGAGCAAACAGCAATCATAACGGATGTTTGTCAAAAAATTTTAATATAGATCGACTTATATCATAATAAAAGAAGGCTTATCTCGTGTTGGTGAGAATGCAGACACCTTGACTAATAATCGAAGAAGTAAGGTTAGTGTGAGGTGTTATAAGATTGCTTGGGGAGAAGGATATTTTTATTTGATGAAGACCCCAAGGCTCTTCTGCCGAGGCATTCTTATGAGGAGCATCAATGATGCTTTGTTGTTGAAACTATATCTTAAAGATCTGATGTCTTACTACTGAGTAACCGAACTTAAGGAGAAAGGGATGTTCATTGAATTGGCGTACTGCCAATATCAGGGTGCAGATAATCCTGCAGAAAAAATTGCAGGTTAGTGTACTACTGCATAAAGAGAAAAGTGCTTTTTACTTTGACTTGTGCTGCAAACTCACAACATGATGAGGTCAAATAAAGTGCACGGGGTTTCTGACAATCTTAAGGAAATCGAAAATTATTTTAGAAGAATAGCTGTGATTCTTTGTGGATTACAAATAGTATTTCGAAGGTGTCGATTTTATTACTATAATCCTTCTAAAATTCTTTTAGATCCATGAAGTTTATTGAGGGTAAGTGATTAGGATTCGACCGCCCAGACCCATTTTTATGATTCATGTGCGAATCTTCGATCTACGAATATTTTCCCTCTTTTCAAAATTATAATATCGGAAAGGTTCGGGTTTTTGAAACTTTGACAACAGGCTTCATTTAGTCAAAACCAAAAAGGGAAAATCAATATCTTTGTGACCGTAATCAGAAGTTGAGCTCTCGAAAAATTTCCAACTTATGTTGACCAACCAACTTATGTACTGCGCAAAGTTATTCTCATAAATTTTAATTTGTTAAAGATTATATGTTGTTTTCTTGAATAAAAATAAATATGTTTGTTGTGTATTAAAATTAAAATATATAACATTTTATTTTTTAGAAACTATACAAACAGTTTCCACTACTGAACAAAAACAAATAATAATGTTTTAATGTAAACCTTTAATAACCCTCTTCTGGCCAGTGGGGCACATACGTCCCACCTACTTCAAAAAATCATAACTTCCTTAAAACTTAACCGATCAATTCCACTAAGATCTCATTTTAAAGGCGAGAGAAAGAGTAACAAATGCATATACATGCATTTTTCAAAAAAAACTAACCTTTTTAAAATACACCCCTTTAAAAAAGTCGAAAAATCACAAAATTTAAAAAAACTATAAATTTCGAAATAAATTTTTATTTTCAACTTTCACAATAACAAATGTTTAAAAATATTTCAAACTTTGTAAAAAAAATAAATAACAAAAATTTACCCCCAGGGTAAAAAAATTTAACGAAAACTACCCCCAAAAACCAAAAAATTTAAAAATTGAACAGATTCACCTGAAACTTGACTGTAACTTTTTTAAATATTAATATTTTTTAACCGAGGTGGACTTGATTTCCTCAGAATCGGTCCAGGTATCCAAAAAAATAAAAGTAAACAGTAAAAAATTTTTTTTAATATAAAAAAATAATAAAATGTTTATGCAAATCGGAAAAATTGTTTAAAAAAGTCAGTTAGCTCATGTACAGACGCTGAATTCAAAAAAATTTTTTGAAGCTCACTATATGAAGTGTTTTGAACCACTGAATACAAATATCGTCGCCATTTTGAAAAATTCGCAAAAATTTAAAAATGGCGTATTCAAGATGGCGCACACTTCGAAGTAAAATTGTCTTACATTATCCGAACATTAAAAAATTAATAAAAAGAAAGAAATAGTTCCTTAAGGTTTTCGGGGTCGCTGATTACGAATTTGATGCCAAATTGACATTTCGACAGCTGACAGCTGTCAGAAGAACTGTCAACTTTTGCATTACTGATTTATTTTTTATAAAAAAGACTCCGTAAATAGTTTTCGGGATCGCTGATTACGAATTTTATGTCAAATTTACATTTTGACAATTGACAGCTGTCAAAACAACTGTCAACTTTTGTAAAACAGATTTATTTTGTATAAAAAAGACTTCAAAAGAGTTTTCAAGGTCGCTGATTACGAATTTGATGTCAGATTGACATTTTGACAGTTGACAGCTGTCAAAACAACTGTCAACTTTTGTAAAACAGATTTATTTTGTATAAAAAAGACTTCAAAAGAGTTTTCGGGGTCGCGGATTACGAATTTGAAGTCAAATTGACATTTTGACAGTTGACAGCTGTCAGAAGAACTGTCAACTTTTGCATTACTGATTTTTTTTTAGAAAAAAGACTCCATAAAGGGTTTTTGGGGTCCTTGATTACGAATTTGATGTCAGATTGACATTTTGACAGTTGACAGCTGTCAGAAGAACTGTCAACTTTTGTAAAACAGATTTATTTTGTATAAAAAAGACTTCAAAAGAGTTTTCAAGGTCGCTGATTACGAATTTGATGTCAGATTGACATTTTGACAGTTGACAGCTGTCAAAACAACTGTCAGCTTTTATAAGACTGATTTCTCTTTAATAAAAGTGACGGAAAAAGGTTTTTAGGGTCGCAGATTTCGAATTTGAACTCAAATTAACGATTTAACAGTTGACATTTGATATAATTGTCAATTTTATAAGAAGTTATTTGGTTTATTTAAAAATGTCCGTAAAAGGGTTTTTACATTGCTGATTACGAGTTTGATGTCCAATTGACAATACGCAGACAATACTGGCCTAATAACAAAGAAAAAAATAATAATTTCGTTTGTGAACAGTATTCCACATCACCTTCGAGGTTCCGATAAAGATGCGTTAGATTTTTTTGGTGAATCTTCGCCTGTAGCCCTATTTTAACACAACTCTTGTAATAATTATAACTCGTATAATTTTTGCTGATTTTATAGACACTTTTGCATAAACAAAATTACTTCTTTTAAAAATTGACAGTTGGTTTGACAGCTTCCAACTGTCAAATTGTTAATTTGACATCAAATTCGTAATCAGCGACCCCGATTCGCGTTTTTCAGGAGTTGTTTATATTCAATATCAATACTTAGTTATCATAGAAATATTTTTTTATATTTTAGAAACGTATAGAATCAGTGGAAATTAATTAATTAATTAATTTTTCGATTGTCCCAAATTAAGAAAAGTTATGAATTAGGGGTGGGCTTCAAGGGTAGGGGGTGAGTTTATTATTAATATCCATAACTGTGTAATTTTCAAATACTTGTTTTTAATTTAGAAGCAATTAGAATCTATAGATTTTTTTAATCGTTTACAAAAACTTTCACCATCAAGGGGTGTTTATTTGACTTTAAGGGTGGTTTTCAAGGGGTTATTGATA